ATCTAAATAGGCCTCCTCCAAATAAACCCAGTTTGCTGGGTTGTAACACTCGAGGCTGTTACAGCAGGCAATTCATCTCCTGACAGGAAGTCCCTCCCCTGATTCCTCATTGGCTGAGTACTACAGAGGTTACAGCCTTACCCAGAAGTCTCCTATGCCCATGTAAGGCCAAAAAAGTAGTCTTATTGGAACAAAGATACATTCCTTGAGGTGACACAGAGACTTCAGTTTTTGGCACATGCTCATTACAAAGCCTACAAAAAATAAGCCCATGAAATGGAGAAGGGAAGAAGAACCAGGAAGTGAAGTGTCTAAGGGTTTGGGACTCCATTGTGTGTGGGGAGAAGGGTTTGTATATATTTCCAGTAGGTTGTAAACCTATTGTTAATTAGCACACTTTTTATTTGGTATTTCTGAAAATCAATCACCTCACTTACTTCTCACACTGCTCAGTGTAAAATTTATTTCATCTGAGACTCTATCGTCTGACACTTTTCTTCAGTGAGGGTTTTTATGTTATAGTTGGTGTTGACAACAGACTGACACTTTCTATGATTTTATATGCGTGTGCATATATATCTTTAAGAATTTGAGTATAACTTGGAAAAGGAATTACTTAAGCATGGTACAGACCCTCAGTTTTAGGAGTTAATAAAGTGACAAACGGTGTCAGTGTAAAGAATATAATCTTAGAGTTTGTGTGTAGTCATACGTTCCTTTATGTTTGATGATATTGAATAGAGATTTAAGATTGAGAGATTGCACCTTACTTGAGTATAAAAATGCTAAACCCAGTGGGACCCACATAGTGTGGTAAACTTATTGTAGACATTTTTTTTAAGTTTAGTTATTTTGAGAGAGAGGGAGAGAGAAGTGCAGGGGCAGAGAGAAGGGAGAGAGAGAGAAGGCTCCCTGCTGTCAGCACAGAACCCAACTCATGCTGGAACCCACCAATGGTGAGATCATGACCTGAGCCAAAATCAAGAGCTGGACGCTCAACCAGATGAGCCACCAGGCACTCCTGACATTTTAACTTTATAGCTTAGGTGGGGTTTTTTGTTTAACTACAAGTCTAGAAACTCATGTTATTTCACTTTTTCTCTTCTGTTACATTTTGTTAGAGCTAAATGAATACTATATGTATTTCAGGAAACCTATTAAAAAGGATAGTTCTGTGTAAGCATTTGACATGTCTTAATATTGAAAATAAATTCTGTGGGGCACCTGGGTGTCTCAGTTAAGCGTCTACTTTTGATTTTGGCTCAGGTCATGACCTCATGGTTCATGGGGTTGAGCCCTGCCTCAGGCTCTGAGCAGACAGTGCAGAGCCTGCATAGGATTCTCTCTCTCTCCCTCTCTCTTGCCCCTTCTGCACTCATGCTTTCTGTCTCTCTCAAAATAAATAAACTTTTTTAAAAACTTAAAAAAATAAATAATAAAAATAAATTTGGAATCAGATTGGCAATATGTGCTTGTTGATGGCTTATTGATAGAATTACCTCTACATTATTTGATTTAATGGTTGCAATTTGCCATACATGTATGCCTATCTCTTCTCCCCAGACAGAATAGTCTGCATTCAATAGTGCTAGTCATTTAAGGTTCCTGCATTTTTAAATTCTTGTTTAAATACCTGTGAATTTTCATTGACTTTGAAAGCAGTTCTGCTAAATTGCATTGTTTCCTAGAATTGCCTTGAAATGCTGAGCTAAGCATCTTATTAAAAGTTATATATTGGAGCATAGATGCTTTTTAGGAACCACAACCTGTTTCTGTAAATTTGAGAGTGTCCACAGAACCATTTATAACATAATCTATGGGCATAGAAATTAATTTGCAACTAGTAAACTACAGCATATGGAAAACTCCTACAGTTACTGTTGCAGCCAATTGTAGTCCTACAACCCTGAGATACAGTGGTAATTTAGGTCTATTGCTCATGCCTGGGCAAATGAAATCTTCTGCATGCTGATAACACCTTAACAGAAGTTGTTACTCTTGACAGCATATTAATGTTACCTTTAATCAGCTCTGTTGTTGTAGATGAGGTTTTAGATCACTGAGTGTTGTAGGGGTAGCATAATTGACTTTCTATGCTTTGTTTTGCACTAGGCAAACACTTGTGATATTTGGCATATACTGGAAATTGGAGATATTAAGTGAGGACATTTTTTTTTTAATTTTAGTGAGAGAGAGAGTGAGGGGGGAGAGAAACACAGAGAAAAAGTCCCAAGTAAGCTCCACACTCAGTGCAGAGCCTGACAAGGGGCTCTATCTCACAACACTGGGATCATGACCAGAGCTAAAATCAAGAATTGGACGCTGACATAGCCACCCAGGCATCCTGGGGGTGGACAAGCTCACTGCAAAGCTGTACTGAATTAGCCTCTCTGTCCTCTGTTTGGGATTCTTTCTTTCTTTCTTTTGTAATTTTTTTCCTCATCTGTAAAAACTGTAATGTTTTTATTTGCAAGAAATTTATATTAAAATCAGTTTATGGATATAAAATATTGTTATCCACTATTAAAATTATTGTTTCTATAATTATATAGGAATATATTTTCATAATTTTCAGAAAAATGATTCTTAAGCATATTTTGTTAAGCTGTCACTGGTATTGAAGATACTAAAAATCTTTGGTTATTGACTCACTCTGACCTAATATTATTCAAAATATTGTTTAATGGTAATTCTGCTGCAGTAATGTATCCTTGTATTGTTGATAACCAGGGCTCATATAGCCAGGTCTAGGCTGCCCATTTTTTTTGGTAAGCTGCCTTTTATTACCCTTAGAGTACTCATGTGGATTGCATTCTTCTGTTCTAGAAGAATCTCTAGGAGCCCCTGAAATGACATTTTACATTACCCTTCTATCTCTAGTGTTCTTCAGGTTTAAAAATCAGTCCATTTGCATTCAGACCTGCAATGCAAGGTCCTGATTCCTCAAAATGCATAGAAATAATGCACTGGCAATTAGGTATGCATGGATATCTTGAAATAAATATACTTGCTTAGTTAACACAAATTTAAGTAGGCTAATAGTATGATTCCATAGCTTTTTTCTAAATCTGTGGAAATCACCAATATTTTCAAAATTGTGTTTTTAGCACCTTAAGATGAGCAGAATTTAGCATTTTGGATATGTTGTGCAACAAAATTTCTTTTTAAGTAATTCTGTTAGGGAAAAATCTGTTATAAGATGGCTGACAGGACTGATAAGGGAATTCCAGTTCTTGTCAGAAGACTACCCTTCCGGGATTTCCTTCCTACCCTGCTTGCCACAGGCACCAAATTACTACTGAGAGGTGCAGATGTAACAGACTATAAATTGTCCCATCTGTTGATGCTCTGGGCTCAGATCTCTGGAGAATGATCTCCTCTGGGCCCACCAGTGTAAAATAAACCTTCTTCCTTCCAAGATCTCCTTCTTCTGCTTGGTGATCCAGACCAGTTTCCATAACGTTTGGTTCCCTGACCAGGAAACCCAACTGCGCCAGCCCATTGTTGCCACCAATTTGGGAAAACGGCGAGGCGTGATGGAACAAGGAATTGTAATGGAGAAGGCGTGCCCTGCCTGAATTTTGGCAGTCTCCTGCTTGGTCCCTTAGGGCTGGCCCTGCTCTGCCATTCCCACTGGACTTGAGGAGACTTGGCAATAGAGGATCTAGACTCGATGGCGGATATCAGTAAGGCCTGGGACCCAATTCTCTCCTGTCCTGCCCACCCAGAGTGGTGGAAGGAGGACCTGATCACTCCCCGGAGACCTCAGTGGTCTCACTGACAGGAAATCTGTTACAGTTCCCCATCAGCCTACCCATAGTGGTGGAAGGGAGACCTAATCACTCCCTGGAGACTTCAGAGGTTTCTCAGTTTTGGGGCTCCAATTCTATCTGGCCCACCCATAGAGGTGGAAGGGGGCCTGATCACTCCCTGGAGACTTCAATGGTCTCATCTGTAGACATTCTGTGGAAGGGAATGTCATAACCTCTGGTGTGTATGTGAGTGTGAATGTGCGACTCAGTCTGGCTTGCCTGCTGAGTTCGACTCTTTGGCTCCATGGACGGGCACCCTTAGGGTCCCCAAAAGCCCATGGAGTCTGAGTGGGCCCATCTGCAATTCTGTGGTGAGTGGCATTCTTCAGGACACAGCCAGACAGGCATCTGACTGGTCTCCTCATTAAGGGGGCACCCCTATCCCTCTGTCTGTCTTTGCAACTCCGCCTCATGGGAATATTATGGGGTCAGGACAAAGCAAAGAAGGATTTTCTGGGGGGAGACTATGGAATTAAGATAACCCCCAGCAAGTTAAGGACCCTATGTGAGTTAGAATGGCCCACTTTTGGTGTAGGAGGGCTCTCAAAGGGAACCTTGGATGTCCCAACCATCCGCTGCAACTGGGATGTTGTTACCAGAGACCCAGGTTACCCTGATCAGTTCCTGTATAAGTCCCAACCTCCACAAATTCTTGCCGGTGTACTGGAGGAAGAACCAGTCTTGCTCCCACCATATGAACCTCCCAGTTCCTGATGCTCTGCCACCTTTGGTCTCCCCACCAACTCCAGGCTTGGCAGATTCTCTCTCCCCTGGAACCAGTGGCCATATTTCAACCTCAGCCAGGCACAGGTGTTCTTCAGATGCTGGTCCACAGCCACCAGTACCAAGAGGCTCTCCTCTAGGGGGATTTGAGCAGGGGGGACGAAGCCTATGAATATGCCCAGCCCAAGGGGAATCCCCCGGGGATTATTATGAGACTATGTGAGGCTTACACCCGTCTTGACCCCTAGGCAAAAGAGGGCCACAACAAAAGGATGAAGAAGGTCCAGCCCCCAAAAGGGGGAGGAACCTCCTTAGCAAAAGAAGAATGTGGCTGCTGCAAGGAGAAAGGACATTGAAGCAGGAATAGATTCAGACTGAGGGGGACCTAGCTCACTTCTTCTTGGCCCCAATGAGCCCACGTTTAAAATAAAAGTAGGGGGCCAAACTATGACTTTTATGGTCAACATGGGGGCTGAACATTCTGTGGTCACCTTCCCCATTGCCCCCTTTAGTGACAGGACTGCCACCATCCTCGGGGCCACAGGGAAACAGGCAATGCAACAGCCCCTCTGCCAAACCCATCAATGTGAACTTGGGGGCCACATGGTATGGCATGAGTTCCTCTATCTACCTGAGTGTCCTATCCCTCTCCTTGGCTGGGATATATTCTCAAAGTTGGGGCCCAAATAACCTTTGAACCAATGGAATGCACCAGTCTCTGATTGGATCCAAGACAAGAAAAATCAGCCCCCCTTATAATGGCAATAACTACACCAAGACAGGAAGAATGGAGGCTATTCTGCACCCAAGCCCAACCCAGTGGCCCATCCAAATTCAGGACTGCCTTCCCCACTGTATGGGCTGAGGACATACTGCCCCCCCCCCCCCCCCCCCCCACCGCCAGACTTCACTACAAACAGACACCCGACATTGTAGCCAAGAAATCAGGCACTCTGGTTGAATGCCAATCACCCTGAAAAACCCTGTTTTTGCCAGTCAGGAAGCCGGTAGGAGGGTACTGACCAGTTCAAGTCTTGCACTTGGTGGTCCTAAACCCGTTTGCCCTCAGCCCAATCCCATGCTCTGCCAACTGGTTTACCTGCCTAGACTGAAAGGATGCCTTCTTCTGCCTCTGCTTGGCCCCCCTGAGCCAAACCTTGTTTGTCTTCAAATGGACCAAACCAGACACAGGGCGTCAGATGCAACTGACTTAGATGCGCCACCCACAGGGAATTAAAACTAGCCTGCCCTCTTTGGGGAGGCAGTGGCCAAGGACCTCAACAGCTTTCCAAGGGAGGCCACACACTAGGCCCTTCTTCAGTGTGTGGAGGGCCTCCTCTTGGCCAGCAGTACCCGAGAGAATTATACAGAGGACACAAGGGCCCTCCTCCAACCCCTGTCAGACTCAGGCTATCGGTTTCATGGAAAAAGAGCACTAGGGAAGGGAAAAAAGAAAAGAAAAAGGTCATCACCTCCCTACCCTAGAGTTCCTGGGAGCTGTGGGATTCTGCCAAATCTGGATTCCCAGATTCTCAGCAATAGCAAGACCTCTCTATAATCTCTTGGTAGGGCCAGATTGAAAACCCCCTGGCTGGACAGAGGCCAAAGCTGCCTTCCCAGAGATAAAGGCTGCCTGAGGGCAGGCATCAGCCCTTGGCCTACCTCATATAAAAAAGCCTTTTAAAGTGACTTTCAGAAAAGGTGGTACAGCCACTTCCGTCTTTGCCCCCTGCCCCTTGCTCCTGCATTTTCCTATATCTCCCGCTACAACCAATGGTGTGAATGCCTCTCCGCCCATAGGCACACAGTGTTATGGAGGGATGAGAGTTTTATTCATTCATTCTGTGAAGTCATATCTCAGTATCTGCTTGGGTCAGAGAGATATGTGTTTCAGAAGCCCCAAGGAGGAAGCTGAGACTGTGCCCTAAGGTAACTTTTTATGATGGAGTGGATTTATGCTTTAGTGTTCATTTAAGAGAACTTTGCTGTGTCTCAGCCTGGAAGAGGTGGCAGCTCTCAGCCCTGGGTAAAAAAAGAAAAAAAAAAAAAAAAAAAGGAAGGCCGTAGAGGCCCAGGGACTCTCACCCCTTGCTGCCAATGTCTGCAGAGCCAGAACTGGGCTCATCCTGGGGGAGGAGGAAAGCTGACAGAAAGTTGTGTGGTAGGTTTGTGGGGGGCTTGTTGCTCTCAGATTCTAGGTGATGAGGTCAATGTACCACTGGGCACCCTTGAAGACCCCTTGCCAGCAGATTTTGGCTGGCTACAGGCTGTTTCAGTGTGGAATCTCTTTGTGCATGAGAAGAAACTCTCATGCCTCTCCAACTCTCAGCATACCAGGGGGTCCTCTGTGAGAATCCACTGGTGACTCTTAAAACAGTTCAGATGCTGAACCCAGCAACTTTCCTACATTCTGAGGAAGGGAAACCAGATCATGACTGTTCTGAGGTGACCAATAAAGTATTTGCAAGCTGCCCAGATCTGCATGACCAGACTGGACAGGACCCAGACCTTATCTTGTTCGGTGATGGTAGCAGTTTCATCACAGAGGGCATTCAAAAGGCAGGGTATGCAGTGACATGCCTTAATCTGAGCTCTCACCATTTGCAAGGACAAGCGATTCAACAGATTCCCAGTATGCCTTTGCTACTGTACACATACAAAGGGAGGGCAATCTACAAAGAAAAGGGCCTTACCGCAGCAGGGAAGAAATCTCCTCAAGGATGTCTGGCTTCCAAAAGAAGTTACAGTTCTACACTGCAAAGAATACCAGAATGGAGACAACCCCACAGTACAAGGAAATTGTCTAGCAAACAAAGCAGCCAAGAAAGCAGCTAATAAGGAGGTGCTGGACATGATGATTGGGGATGGAGTAGAGGTAATGGTCACAGCCTTATTCATCCTCCTGCTGGTATGCAGACTGCGAATGAGTGCAGAAAACCCCAGCCCGGATGGCCCAGGTATTAAAGATCCTGTGCATCCAGAAGTGCATCCAACACTGCCACAGAAGGAGTCCCCGCCCCCAGTGCTTGAAGCTGACTTGATGAGGGTGACCTGAATAACTCCCACCTGCCCTCCCAGATGCTCTACATGCTCAAGAATGTCTGGGTGCTGGGTCACTTCGAGAAGCTGCTCTTCCTGGAGCTCTGCTGACACATGTTCTTCCAGTGGCTCAGCCAGGGTGACTACGTCTTCTGGCCAGGCCAGCCGGATGCCAGTGTCTATGTGGTGAAGGATGGGCTTCTGGAGCTCTGTCTGCCAGGGCCTGATGGGAAGGAATATGTGCTGAAAGACGTGGTCCCTGGGGACAGCATCAACAGCCTCCTGAGCATCTTGGATGTCATCACCAGTCACAAGCATCCCCAGGGCACTATGTCTTCCCTGGGTGGCCTGAGACTCCAACGTGCTGCAACTGCCAGTGGAAGCCTTCTCTGCCATGTTCACCAAGTACCCTGAGAGCTTGATGCAGGTGGTGCAGATCATCATGGTAAGGTTATAGTGGGATACCTTTCTGGCACTTCACAACTACCTGGGTCTGACCAATGAGCTCTTCAGCCATGGGATCCAGCTCCTGCACCTCTTCCCTGGCCCTGGCTTCCTGGACTGCACCAGCCCCGTGCGTGGCTCCAAGCGGGTGGTCAGTGCCTCAACTATCGAGGAGACAAGGGAGACTCTTGGCCATCAACCTGACCTCACTGGGGCCCCACTACCTGAACCTGCAGGGGAACAAGTGACCACTCCTGAACAGCCAGGTCTTGCCCCATCATGCCATCTGGCACCATCATCACCTGCCAAGGTGACAAGGATGTAAGACTGCACTTTGTGCTGTGAGGCTGCCACACGTCTACACCTCCTCTCACCAGGGGACTTGATTGAGGTCAAAGACTGAAAAAAGACCTTCTCAAAAGACAGTGGACAGGGCCTCTTATGGGTATCACTCCATGGGTTCACCACTCCAGAGTCAAGAGGGCCAACCCTGAGGAGCTCCAGACTTGGAAGACTGACCCAGGTCCGATCTTCACCCCTGCTCCAGCCACACCCTGGAAGCTGGCTGGTCTGTGCATGGCAGAAGCTTGAGGAATCGCTGCTCTGATAAAATAAGTGGACTGTGTTACTCCTTGTCATCAGGTTGAAAGAGGTTGCCTCAGAAAGCTGGGGAAATAAATGTTCCTGTTCACACTCACTTTCCTCTTATGGATAGGATATTTTGTTGGTTACTGATTTCCTCTAATTGGGCCCCATTTGTAAGTGTGGGGCACATTGAATGGAAAACTCTGGGGGAAGGGGGGTTAAAAGCTTAAATATGTTGTAAACTCATTATGCTACTTTGCCTGCCACTGAGGAGGTTGCCAATGCCATTTTGGGGAAGTGTTTACACTGATGCATATGCCTCAAGCTTCAGAAAAAAAAGAGATTAAATGATTCTTCAAGATAAAAGGTGATGCTTAGAATAACCTTCAGCCTTAAGGCCTAGGCTAAATGAGCGGTGTTACTACCCATCCACCTAGGGACAGAAATAGCCACGGGGAAAGAACTGGCATGGGAGACATAGGCTGTTCTGTGGGCCTAACGAATGGCAGACTCCCTGGTGTTCTTACAGAGCCAAATAAGTTCCCTGGCAGGAGTTGCCCTCTCGAACAGATGGGCACTTGACCTCCTCACTGCCGAAAAAGGGGACACCTGCACCTTCCTTGGAAAAAATGCTGTTATTTTGTAAACCAGTCAGGAATAGTCACAACCAAAGTCAGGGAACTAAGAAAAGGAACCAGCACACAAAAAATGAAGATGATGCCCTCTAAAACAAACTAAGTCTGTTTAAAGGAGCATCAAAAGGGGGAATGTTAGAGAAAAATCTGTTATAAGATGGCTGACAGCCCTAGGGGAATTCCAGTCCTTGTCAGAAGACTACCCTTCTGGGATTTCCTTCCTACCCTGCTTGCCACAGGCAACAAATTACTACTAATGAGGGGTGCAGAAGTAACAGACTATAAATTGTCCCATCTGTTGATGCTCTGGGCTCAGATCTCTGGAGAATGATCTCCTCTGGGCCCACCAGTGTAAAATAAACCTCCTTCCTTCCAAGATCTCTGAGTGCTGATTTGTTCTTCTGGCAGGTGATCCAGACCAGTTTTCATAACAATTCTACTTTTATATTTTAATATTTCAAATATTTCAAACTATATTTTCCAGTTGTATAGGTAACGTTTACACCTTCATTCTTATCTGTTTACAGATAACGTGTCTTACTAAGATGCTCCCTTTCTTCTAGATTTGAAAACACAAATTAGAACATCCTAGTGCATTTTAATAATGCTAGGGAAAAATTCATTTCATAATTGAAAAGACCAAGCAAAACTGCTTGGTATTAATGGAAAGTGTTTGATCTTAATAAAATATCTTCAAGGTAAAATTTAAAAAAACTGTTTGGTATTAGTTTATACCCAAAACACTTTTGAATTTAATAATTAGTTGCATGTACAAATTAGTAAATGTATCATAAATTAATTGTACCCACTTAGACTTTTGTTCCCAGAGCTGATTGTAGGAGAAAAACCTCTCTCTAGGAAGTAATGACTGCAGGCGCTTAAATATATCACTGAGTTGATTGATAGTTGAGGGTTGAAAAATGACTCATTTCTGAATTTAGTAAGCCTAGCTACTGACTTCACAGGACTTCCTATGAAAATAGTTTAGCTGGACAGATGTAGATCAGGTGATCAGTGTTTAAGCTGATTGATGTGGCTTTGGAAATATCTGTTAGGTTCTCAGTAAAAAGTGCCTATGAGCGCATTCATACTTAGAAATAGAGATTGAAGAAAATTTTGCCACATGATTCATTCATTTGATATTTAGCTCAGTAAACTTATGTGCTGATATAGTTATTCTCATTTTATTTTGAATTATACGTATTTTTAATGATGTAAGTGCTTATTCATTTTCTCTAACTGGTAGGAATTTTTAATTTATTGCCAAAAGTTTTAGGCAGGTAAAGCAAACTGAGGGTGAGGTTGATAATTATTTTGATAAGTCTTCTAAAAAGCTTTTTAAAAGCCTTTAAATATGTGTATAGACATATCATTTGTAGTTTGAGTCGATATGCTTTTTAATGTCCAGGGCTGGGCACCTGGGTGTCTCAGTTGATTAGGCATCCATATTTGGCTTAGGTCATTGATCTCACAGGCTCGTAAATTCAAGCTCTGTATCGGGCTCTCTGCTGTCAGCACAGAGCTGGCTTTGGATCTTCTATCTCTCTCCGCCCCTCCCCCACTTGTGCACACTCTCTCTCTTGAAAATAAACATAAAAAAATGTCTTATGTGCCATTGTTAGCTTCTTTACTCTCTGAAACCTTTCCCTTGATGCTGAATCATAAAGGAAGATCAACTTTTTGAAAATTATCTTCTCTGAATAATTTTAGGAAAACTAAACTTGGAGGAGAAAAGATCCCTATCTGCTATCGTATCCTTGGTGGTGACTTTAAAAAATCAGAATCCTCATTTCTACTGTCTGTGGAATACCTATGCTGAGGTGAAAAAAAAAGATACTAAACTTTTAAGCTGGTGAAATAATTACACACACACACACACACAATTTTTTTTAGGTTTGCTCATTTACTTATTTATTTAATTACTCAAACTCAAGGATCCTGTGATCAAGAATCACATGCTCTTCTTACTGTACCAGCCAGGCACCACCATAGGGTTTTTGATATTTAGAGTTAGAAGGGATGGTGTAATCCAGTGTTTCTCAAACAGAAGTGCTTTCCCCCCATTAAAGAAAGAGATTCTTATTCATCACCAGTGTATTACTTAGAGAGCTTTTGGACACAAGTGATGGAAATCTAAATTGTACCATAGAAGACTGACTTCCATAAGAAATTCCTAAGGATTGGTTTGGCTGTGAAATGCAGCTGATCAACTAATTGGTCAAGATTCTGTCCATCTGTATATCCTTTCCCTAAGTTCATCTGTCAATACTTTCTACTTTCCATCCATCCATCCATCCATCCATTTTTCTAGCCTTCTGCTGTGTTGGTTTTCTACTCCTGCATGCTTTCTTCATGTGCTGGAAAAGTTTCTTCATGGCAAGTTTCAGTGAGTATTAAACTTCTTGTCACCAGCTAGACCCCAAGATCAGACATCTACTGCCCACCTGCTTATACTCATGGAACTTTATCTTTCATTTTTCCATAAGTGCTTTCCAGCCTACCCCTGAACTCAGGCAAATGAAACACAAAACCACCCCTGAGGTGATGGTGACTGACCTGACAAGACCTTCAGCCAGCCTAGACCACCCAGACTTTTTGAGCAAACCCCCATACTCATGCCTGTGTAGTTGGACCTTGAAGTGACCCCTGGAATGACATACCATTACTTACCTCATTATAATAGTAAAGCATTTGCCCAAGGAAGAGCCTCAACCTTATTTACATAACATAATATGTATGTATAGGCATGTTTCCTTAAAGCTCATTCATGACTTTATGCCCACCTCTACATACTATGACAAGATTTCCCCATCTAAATATTCATTTTAACCTTAAACAAAAGAAACCAATTTATCCTCTTTCAGGGAGTTAAGGTTTTGGAAGCCATTCTTCCATGATCTCCTTATTTGCTGCAAATAAAATTATCTTTGTATGACAAAGATTTGTATGTTAGAGAATCACCTTTTTTTTTAATTTATAAATTTTTATTTCAGAGGGGGGGAGGGAGGGCAGAGAGAATCCCAAGCAGGCTGCACAATGTCAGCACACATCCCAATGCAGGACGTGAACCCATGAATTGTGAGATCATGAGCTGAAACCAAGAGCCAGACGCTTAACTGAGCCACTCAGGTGACCCACTTTCTTATTTATTTATTTATTTATTTATTTATTTATATTTTTTATTTTAATATTTATTTTTCCCATCAGCACATGATTTTATTTTTTTATAAATAATTTATTGTCAAATTGGTTTCCACACAACACCCAGTGCTCA